CCTGATTGCCTATCGCCCCAAAGCCATGCCTCCTCGCCGTGTCACCTACTATTTACCCGACACGACGAGCACTTTGCCATGGGACTGGCAGGGGACTCGATTTCGTTTGGGTTCGTGTTTGGGGTTTCTGTTGGCTGCCGCCGAGTTGGTTAATTAAACCATTTGAAAGCTGATTGCGTTTGCATTTCGGTATCCGTTTTTGTTGTTGTTGTTGTTGTTGTTGTTGTGTTGCTCCCGTTTTCAGATAAATCAAATTTAAATGTTTCGAGTGGAATTCAAATGGCGCCGTTGCCGCCCTCAAAACGGCAAAAGCATGCCGTCCAGGTGGGGGTTGGGGTTGGTGGCATTTAGGGGGTGTTGCCTCAAACCGCAAACGATAAATGAAACGGTAGAAATGAAAACGGAATCATTACGGCAGCTCATTTTGGGGGGTGAAGTTTCAAACGCTTTCCGCTGACTGTGTGTATTTTAATGTCATTTAAATCATAATAAATCCGGTGTTTTTCTTTTTTGTGTTTGTTGTTTGTTTGGTTTTTTTGTAGTTATAATTTCAAAAAGGATTTAAGGGCACCCAATCATCAAACAAATGAATTCCAAGGCAAACGAACTGTTATTATTCTTAATTAATAATTTAATAACACCAACACTTTGCTACAAAAAAGGACAAGACCAAAGATACTTCTGCATTGGCTAGAGTACATTAAAGCCCTTCTTAACTATAACATTTCTGCTCAGATAAATTAATTTATTACTTTTTCTGTTTTTTATTCTGTTTTTTTTTTTTTTTTTTTAAATTAAATGTATTTTTTTTTGCTATCATACCAATAAAACTTTCAACTTTAAGCTTTACTAATCTATGCACATATATCAAGGAGAAAAACAGTTTGTCTTGACGGGCTGACTGATTGATTGGCGTTTAGGGACCGAGACACAGCCGAAACGGTAAGGCTAAGAAGCTGAAAGACTCACTCAGCCTGTTTTGTCTGACAGTCAAAGCCTCGTTATGAAGCACCACAATACTCACAGACATATATTCACATTTGTATGTAAACACTTTTTTCAGTTTACCTCTTCACAGTGAATACATTGTACATATTATAATATATTTATGCTGAAAACGGAAGTGTGTGGCAAGCATATTTGAATAGTGTGACGGGAAATTTTTAATATTCACACAAATATCATATTTAATCCATTATATATCTTCTTTTTGCTATAATAGAGTTATATATCAAAGCAAGAAACTATAACAGAAAGAGAAAAAATGCTGAGTTTGACAAAACTTTTCTCGCTAGAGTAAAATTTATACCAGTAATTTTCGATAATGCATACAACTCCCCAAATTGTTATTCACTGCACTTATTGACTTCCGTCGGAAGATTGCTTGTTTTTGGGGCTAAGTCTGTTGGCTTTATGTCGAGTGATACTTTGAAAATGCTGTCATCACTTTCAATATCTCTCCAAAGGGTTATGATAGTTTGAGCTCTTGTTTTTAACCATAAGTTTGCTAACTAATGTGGCTCATTTCAATGTTTCAATTCAGATGTAGACATCTTGCATGGTTAAAGCGTAATTAAAGTCAAGTGAGACTGTTTAAATTGACATCAAGACGAAGACGAGTTATATTATATTATATATATATTATTTCTCTATATGTCCCAGTTTTCTCTGTCTGTTTGTTAACTTCCTTTCAAACATATTTTTCTTTAACTATTCTGTAAATAAAAGTCAACGGAACTGTGTTACTATTTTTTTTTGTCAAAAACATTCAGTGTTTACTTGATTTTAGCTTGTTTGTATAGAATTTCCAATTTGTTGTTGTATCTGCTCCAGGGTATCCTATACTCGAGCTCTCTGATTTTTAGTATACTTACTTTTTCTATTTGCTTTGTGTTTCTATCTCTCTTTTCACGTATCCCTCCATGGAAAACCCAACCATTTTCGCAATAAGCTTCAACTCACGCACATAACAGTACATTTGTGTTAGCGTGTGTGTGTGCGTTTATTGTGTGTGTGTGTGTGTGTGTGTGTGTGTGTGTGTGAATGTGTTCGGCGGATTTCGATTTTGTGTATCGCAAAAAGAAATTTAAATGAGATTTACGTGAGACTCACCTTATAGCTGTTATATGTTGATTTGTTGTTGTTCTTATTTTGTGTGTGTGTGTGTGTGTGTGTGTGCGTGCGTGTGTGTGTGTGTGGATGAGTGCCAACACATGGGTATGCGTTTGTGGCTAGCTAATTACATTGCTGCGCACTTTAACGCTGATTAAGTGACGCATTTTCCTCACCACTCCTCCGAGCAACTTGCCTTGACTCCAAATTAAATGTAGCACCGCAAACCGTCATTCAGATACTATTAATAGTGCTCATTATTCCTATTTTGGCAATGGATACGTCAGCATAAATACACACACACACACACACATAAGGTGTACATTGAAATCTGTGTGTGCTTGTTTATTATTGTCTGTGCCGAACATCAATAGAATTGACGGCCTGTTGGCACCAGCACAGAAACACACAAAGGCAAAGCCCAGTAGACACATTAAGCTGGCGTGACGACATGTCGTCACAAACATCCTCATCCACTAACACACATATACACACACACACACACGCCTCTCTTTCCTACACTCAGAAATACATCTCCCTCAAAATTTAAAAAATAGCTCTGAAAACTAGAACCTTTTTCTTGTTTTTAAAAAATTTCGTTAAAATGTGTTTTTTTTTATATTTCTTACTAATATATTTCTAAGTGAAATTCAGAGACTAGCAATGATAATTGCTCTCTCGACTGCTAAGTTCAGAGTTTAGAGTGAGAGTTCACTTATTTATAGCCAACCTAAGAAGCTAACGTAAGAGTTTTCTTTGTACACAAATCAAAAAAGCACATTGGATTATACATTTTCAAAATTGTAGAGAAATGTACCTTGGAATAAGATAAGATAAGATAAGATAAGAGAAACTCGGATATTGATAACGATATCGCTTTCCGCTTTCGAGAGAAAATAATAAGGAGAGGTAACCTTGGCGCCAAGAGTATGCATTTTTTCTCTGAGTGTATACAGCTGAACGAAAATATGCTGGGTGTACTCGCATACTGATGAAAAGTGCAGTCAACTATGAAGCACTTTAAAAGTTATTCAAAGGTCCCACGGATATCTTCCAAACAATTTCCAGGCCAAAATCAATTTTTTGTTGCCATTGGTTTCAAATCTCTAGTGTGATAGCAAGCGATTTCGACAAGCACAAACGACTGGAAAAGTTTTCTTTTTTTTCAAAAGCAATTTTGTTAATGGAAACAATGTTGATTTTTCTCATTAAGCTGCATACAATAAGCTTTAAATTTAATGTGTTATGTTTTTTAGATAATTTGTATGTTATTTTTTTTTATTTACACTAAATGCAGTCTACAAATTGGAAGTGATTCAAATTTTAAAAATCAAATATTAATTTACAAAAAACTTATTAAAGTCAAAACAGATACTTTAAAATTTTAAGAAATATATAAGTTAATATTAAAAATGTAAAAAATAATATAAAATATTAAAGATGTGGAGTTATTAAAATGCAAAATGCCTCAACATTTATTGCACGGATTGAGAAAAGCCAGTAAAAAAAATCGTATCGGACGAAAAAAATGTTTATTGTTAAAATTAATTAAGATTAAAAAAACTGACGGGGAAAGAGAGAGATGCAGAAAAAGAAGAACAAATAGGGAAAATCTGAACATGTGAATTAAGATCAATTTATCAGAGTTAAGCATTTAATAAATAAATCATTTGGAGTGCACATTTCAGTGCACATAAATCTCTCCGTTTTTAAATTAAAATTAATAAAAATACACAGTTGCATTAATTTTAGCTTGTATTAAGCAATTTTAAAACAATATCTGGTGGTTGCAGAGAGCCCCAAAGTATATTTGTCGCTTTTTGAGTATTTGAAGAGTTTCATTCATTTCTTCCATGCATTTTATTTCCTTTGTCTCTCTCTCTGTTTCTCTCTCTCTCTCTCTGTCTTTCTCCTTTTCACATTTTCGCCTGTGTCCAATGAGCCCCTAAAAGTAAGCAATTTTTTTTTTAAGAGCAGCGCACTCTTGCTGTGGGTATTTTATGACCAACTTCCATTGTTCTATAATTCGCCCAGTTGTACCAAAAAGAATTTTATGCAAGAGACCTTTTTTTATGCCCTGTTTATATTTAAATGAGTGAAAAGGGTATTATAAAGTTACGCAAATAGTGCGCAACAGGCAGAATGAAGCATATACGACTCCACTACGTAACTATATAATTCTATTTGTCTGTTTCTTTCAGTTCATTTTCCCATTTTTTGCTATTTAGGGTATTGTCATCAAACTAAGATTTGACTTGTCAAGCCAAACTCCATCGACCAACACACTCTCTTTTATTTTATTTAATTTAGCTAGTTTAATTTGGTTGCATTTGTATTATGAGGAGCCCAATATTTAAGTCCAAACACTTGTGAGATTATACGACAAAAAAGAAAATACCAGTTTTTAATTAAAAAAAAAAGGACGCATTTTACTACGCTTTCAGGAGATTATCATTTAAAACCTAACACTTGCTGAGATTAAATTAAAAGTGCAGAATAAATCTAAGAAAAATAACACTTTCTTTTTAGTATAAATGACAGCTCATTGCTTGCTGAAGCGACTTCTTAAGCGGACTATAAAACTTTATAAGTTGGCCGTTTATTTAAGGCTGTATGCAAAATGTAGAATAAATTTGGTACAGTGTTTTTCTCAGAGTCTTCACATAAGTATGTGTGCTTGTGTTGTGTTTGTGTGTGTGTGTATATATATTTTATGTAACAGGAAGGTTAGGATACATTGTTAATGGAAGAAAGTTTTGCGCAAGTCGAAGAAAAACACAAAGAGAAAAGCACAGCTGTGGCGAACTTTGCTTGACATTTTAATTTATCGAAAAGTTTATTGCCATCTGATTATTATTAATTTCATTTGTGATTTTCATTGCAGTGTCGAAGATGCGTCGTTCCTCATTTACTCCCGTGTTCAATCTGAGCACCCAAGAGCCCTTGATAGTCGTTGAGGAGTCCCATGCCGCCGAGGACGGTGACGAACTGGAGGGGGCTGCCGGGGGCTGTGATCCGAGTGCCACCCGGCGGACGAACAGCGATGACTCCGAGCCGGACTCACCGGTCAATCCGTATCTATTATGCCCCTTTCCCGATATGCAGCAGCGTCGCAAGCACTCGCTGCCCTCGCTCCAAATCACCGAGGGCATCACAGCCAGTCAGGTGCGTCGCCTGTCCGAGGTCGGTGGCGAAACGGGCGGGCTCAGCCCCAAAGAGGTCGAATTTCTGGCCACTCTTTCCCAGAAGGCCAATCCGACCGCTGGCGGGCGACGTCACTCTGTGGTCACCATATCAGCGGTGCCGCCAACGCTCTTCGGACGCAATCGGCGTGAATCCATTTCCGCTGTTTCGTTCAGGTAATTGCAATTTTTATACGCTTTCAGAGGGTAGTTGTATATTGTTGTCAAGCTTGCACGAGAACTCTGCGATATATTCTTGATCACTAGCCATCTCGTTATAGCCAGATCCGTCTGTCTGACGGCCAACAGTCTCTTGTAGCCTGATTCCACTATCAACATATTGTAAATTCTCGAATGTCTACAGAATGTAAGTTGCTGCCTTACTAATTACGGGTGTATTTATGTTTCTAACATTTGTGGGACAAATGAAAAAATCAGTGAAGAAACTGAGAGAGTTTATAAAACTCGACTTGCGCAGGAATAATTCCATGTTATTTTTGCACACTGATAGTGTGGCGAAAGCTAGTTTAGTGTCCATAATTGCATGTTGTGTGTGCCATTAGCCATGAAAATGCGCGGCACACACAATCAGCAAAGCAACAGCCATAGAATCAATCACCAGGACCATCAGACCATCAGACCAAAAGGACATGGCATGGCAGAACATGGCTTCCCTGACTCTCCCCTAATTGAATTGAGCCAACGGCTGTTGAATGCTTTTGTGCTGTGCCAGCAACAAATTCTTGATATCCTGCCAATGCTCGCTTTTGCCGTAGCCTAATGAGATTGTAATGAAATTGCCAGACCTCAACTCAACTCGGCTCAACTCGGGAAAATGCTCAAGCTTAATGTATGGTTCGAAGTGAACAGCCGAATGCCGAATGCCCAAAATAGTATATGGGTCAATACTCCTTTGAGCTCTTTATCGAGTTGATTTTATTGGTTTGAATAATCTCAAGCCATAAAGTAACATTTCGATTTGGGGCTATCCGAGTACATTCATCTGTATGTGTTCGTGTATACCCTCTAACCATAATCAAGAAAGAATTTTTTTTTTAAGGTCACTTTAGATTGCTTAAGTTGAACAAATATTAATATTTCCAATACGCAACTTTTGAATACAAATTTGCATGGAATCTTCAAAGAGTTTTCAAATATATCTTTGAATATGATTTTGTAATAAATTGCGCGAACATCTGTCTGCCAAAAGTTAAAAAATTTAACTAGTTTAATAATTAATTTATTTGCATATATGTATCATAATTTGAGCAAAATAATCTTCAAATTATTTGGAATAAGTATTAGTATGGATCAGTAAGCTTTTGTTTCCCAATGGCCAAAATATCAACGTTAACTGCGATATATCCGTATATATATATATATCCGGGCTGATTACAAGAAAAATCACTCTAGAAAAACACATATCTCTCGGATTACATCTGCATTTGTTAGATTTTTTTTTATCACTACTCAAATTATATCCCATTTATATTAGAATATTTTGCAGTCGGTTACCACTGACTGCAACTGTCCTGGTTTTGCTTATGCCTTCCATCCTATATCCGTTAAATGGTTGCAACAACAATACTTTGAACTTGACCTTAAGTCCATTCATACTGTATTCTCTTTGATCTGCTAGACATGTATATGTGTAGTTATATATGTATATATGTTAATGGTTATGTGAATTTATACGTACTTTTATTCACATTCGCAGCGGCAGTCGTCGGGGCAGTGCAATCGCTGGGCCACCGTTGACAGATCATCGCGGCAGCATACACAACTTGCAGCTGGACATCATGGACGGGATTGTGCAGCAGCGCAAGACGCAGCGCAGCGGCAGCGGCGTCTGGACAGCACCCGTGCTCCAGGAGGCGGACAGCAATGTGCCCGTCCAGACATAAGCGGTGAGCGGCGAGCGGCGCGGACAATGGGCGGCAAAGGTAAAGGAAAAGGAGACGGGGAATGCGCGCGATACGGGACACGGTTGGAATTGACGAACAAACTGGACATAACATATTTCCATATACCCACCCCCCACGTCCCACCCCCCACTACCCCAGCTTCCCACTCCCATCGTTAACATCCTCGCTCTCGCCCTCATTTTGCTTTTGTGAAAAACAAGAGGAAAAGAAAAAAATTGGTTTGCTGCGACAACGCATAAAAAAATAAACAACTGTGCAAACGAAAATTAAAATTCAACTGCTGACAGAGAGAGAGAGAGAGAGAGAGAGAGATAGAGCGCGAGAGAGAGAGAGAGAGAGAGAAATGGACAGAGAGAGTAAGAAATAGCTAGCGATAAAGAGAGCAAAACAATGGAGAGAGAACGAGCAAGCAAGAGAGTCAAAGCCAGAGGGAATTCGGAGGAAAATGCAGAGATGAACAAAAAAAAAAAACACAAAACACAAACAGAGGATGTAACAATTAAGCGAGAAAAACTCAACTAGAAGACACCCTGTACACAAAATCATTGGGCTACATAAAAGCCAAACCTATATCTCAATTTGTAGAGTTCGCAAATAACACCTTATGAAAATCAAATAGCAAGCCGATGAAACCATCTTAGTGTTGGTTGTTTTTCATTGTCAAAACCCCATTTAATCAATGTTAAACAGTGGCTGGAGTAAAATAATATTCAATTGTCCAAAAACTTTTTCTATGGATTACAGGGTATTTCAAGCGAAAAGCGAAACACAGAACAATCGTTCGAAAAACGCTGCAAAAACATCTGTCGCTTATTTTTTGATGCAACAATTTGCACAGCTGCACCTTCCGATAGTGTGGCCACTCTGCCCCACCACTCCCCATGCTTCCAATCAGCAAACCGCAATTTACTTAAAGTGACGGTAGCCGAAGGCAATAAAGAACAAAATGGAACCAACCATGTCCAAATAGCCGAAATAGAAAACTTTCAGCAAAAACTAACAAAATTGGTACGGAAATCGAACAAATAAAATCAAATGCAGCAAATAACATTTAATAGCAGTCAGGAACAGCTGCATCCACAATATTTGAAACTACAATTAAATCAACAAATATAAAATATTTATTTATTTGCTCAAGCCTGTATTTCAACACCAAATTGTCTCTCAAATCGTTGCGGAGCTCCATTCCATATACACTCGGAAAAATATTGCCTTAGATGAATTTGGTGATGTTTCAAATAGCCCGAAAATCCAGAAAAAAGCATAATTTGAATAAAATAAATTCAAAATGTTTCAAAAGTGTACACGTTGAGATATTTAAGATTCCTTTCTTTTATTGGTCATCACAAGAATATTTCTGATCGTTTCATATAAATTTTTACGTATTTCCACGCAATGTTTCTAATTTCCGCTTACAATTTAAAAATGACTCTGAAATTGAGTAATGTTAATTTTGAATATAAGAAAAACGAAAGCGTTTGAAATAGTTTAATATATGTAAAGTTCTGGGGCATAATTTGTGCAGAGTGTATGAGTTGTCAGCCGAATATCAAATTTCTACTAACGGAACGCAGCCTCGACACAACATTTTGAAGGACAGTCTAGGTCAAGGACACTACACATACATATATTTATACACAGGCACTTAGTTACAAGGTTGTCGTATTTTATTGTAAGCGACACGTGTAGCACATGGCGTATGCGTAATATGCCACACTACCTCAATGCCAATGCCAACATGCCAGCATGCCAGAACGCAGAACACAGAACACAGAACCCAAAACCAATGCCAATGGCAATGGCAACGGCAATGCGATTGCGAATACGAATACGAATATCCCCTTTTAATAGTCGTCGTTTTTGAATTGACTGTTGTTTATGAGAGCATCCCCTCCCCCAAATAGCTCGCAGCATTTGCTGCCCAAGAATGCAAATCTCTTTCTGACAACGTTAACTAAAATATGTGGCATCTAACTAATTATGACTATCAAAACACAATGCCAGCTGGCCTTATACATACCAGTGCCCAGAAACCCAATAGATTCTCCTTTATACATATCCACACTAGAGTTTCTGAGTATGCAAATATCAGAGTAAACACACATTGCAAACATTAATTAACTATTGCAGCATTTACATTTTTGGGAATCCAATTTATGCTTATGGGCATCAGAACAATCAAGCAACTTTTGATTAGATATCAACTGATTACAATTACAAATAACTAATTGTCTTATAGTATTTATTTGAAGATGGAATTAAACAAAAAATTAAACTTACAATTTTGATTCATGTTAACATTTTTTTTTTTTAATTTCGAGAAACTCACATTGAACAAAAAAACAAAAAAAAAAGTAAGAAATTGTCACTTGGAAAACTATATATAGTTATATAGTTAGTAACTTGAATCGGCTTACTCACTTGCGATATACACCAATCCTAATAGAATTAACTTTGGCTCAGTCTATTGCAAAATTATAAATGGAGTATGAGTAGCCCAGCATTTAAATTGCGACTAGTTTCTGAGGACTAGCAAACCTGAAATAAATAACCACCGCTTGAGTACCACCAATCGAACTATCTACCGACTATTTATTGTAGCTAAACATAATTTCTTCAGGAGAAACCAAATCTGTGTTTCTCTCTCTCTCTCTCTCTCTCTCTCTCTCTCTCTTAATCGCTATTTCCTTTAGAGTAATGTCACTATTATGCATCTCATATTGACACGCAAACTTCCCAAAGCACACACATATACAATTAAAACACTTGCAGTAATTTGTAGCTTCAGATGTTTGTTTACATTCCAAACTATAAAATGTACGATAATAACAAAGCTAATTAAAGCCAAAAACATTAAAAAATATATATATATATATATATATATATGAAAGGTGCAAAATGGAATGCAAAGCAATTAAAAAATTCTCTATGTATGAAAAAAAAAAAAAATTGAAATGTTTGTTATTGTTTAATTAGAACATAGTAATTGTGAGAATCACAAATGAATACAAAACGAGAGTTAAAATGTACCATGTAACTAAAGACAAAGAACAAAGTGAAGAGGAAGGAAATGGAAAAGAACGTGTAACTTTAAACCTAAACTTTAAACTAACTAACTTAAAGCAAACTAAAACTAATTTACCTACGAGTACTTTAAATGTTAGACTATAAGTGATTGGCAACCAGTAAAGCTCCTACAAGCGAAACAATCAAATCAAGCTGAGCATATTCAGATCGAATTATCAATCAATCAAACTAACAATCAATCAATCAAACAATCAGCTAGTCAGTCAGTCTGTCCGCCAGTCCTCAGATTAATAAGCCACACACTTATATATGCATATGCATATTCATATATGTGTGTATGTGTGTGTATATGTATGTGTGTAGCAGCGAAAAGTCTCGCTAAAAAACAGAAAAAAGAAAAAGGACATTGAACTCGGCTTGCTGCCTGCCCAGCCCAGCAGGACAGCAGGCATTAGTTCGACCCAATTCATCATCAATCCCTCTAACCCCTGACTCCTCCAAGCCCACATCAGAATATTGCACAATCGGTTTTAGGCAAATTTCGCAAATGATTTTATTATTAATTAATTAGCAAGTCTTGATGTTGTCCCTGCGCATACAGTCTTAGAATAAGGTATCATTACGAATACCTACACACCTATGTATGTATGTATTTGAGTTTATCTCATTCTAAATTTAAACTAAACTCAAGCTTCGTTTGTACATAAATATCGTTTATCCCTCAAGTGTCAGTTTAGCGCTTCCCCCCAGTAAACTCTCCTTCCAATTACAAGTCCAATCAACAAACCAAAGGAAAAATCTAGTCATATTGCAGATATGGAGTTTACTGCACTATTCACCAATTTGACTCTCAAACTGAACGTATATGTACTTAATTAATAAATTTAAATAGTTTAATCTCTTAAATGCCTGGACTCCTATAGCAAAAGAAGAGCCCGTCATATTTTTGAATTTATAAAATGTCGCTGGACGACGAAAAAAAAAAAACAAAAGGCACAGCTTCCTTATTATTAAAAAAAATATATATATATAAATATATACACACAAACATTCAAACCAAATACATACATGAGATACACACACAAGTGCAAATGCGAAATACATGAATACCTTAAAGCATAGTCAAAGGATAATCAGAAAGGAACGAGCGCTTGAAATGAGAAAATTATATATTATATTGATAATCTAGTATTTGTAGAGAGAATCTATACGAGTATACATACTCGTTATTGATATATTTATATATATACACAAACATATATATATATATATATATATATATATTAATAAACCTATTGTCACAACGCAAGAGCAATCAATGTTTCAATTTATTAAACGTTACAAGAATGTTTTGAATACTGCATATACATATATATATATATATATATACATAAATAAATAAATATACTTGCGTATATAAAAAAACTTATATATTCATATATATATATAATTATATACATATGTAAATATGTTATGCAAATATATGCCATATGTGAGCATAAACTAATTCACGACATTATTTGTAACTAAATATACTAGAGTTACTCGTAGTTGTGTATTTTAGTCGTCAAATGTTAGCCAAAAGAGAAACGGAAGAAGAATAACAATCAATCATACAAAAGAAGAAAAAAAAGACACTAAAAAAATATGTATTTATACAAATTATTTGAAATGGAAATGAAAAACAAACCAAAAAATACGAGAAAATTTCGAAAATTGAGAATTTTTGTTGTTTGTTTGTTGTTTCATTTATTCTTTCGTGAGTTAAACATGAATTATAAATATAAATGTGTGTTTTTTGTCTTTGTCTTTAGCGTTAGCAAATGTATGTTTCGATTACGTTTGAAAATACTCGTATTTTAATTATACATATATAAATATATATATTTATTAAATAACGGACAAGCAAAATACACACTTAATTACTAATTATAACGATTACTTATATTAGATCTAAGCGAGAGCCGAGAAGGCGTCTGCATACACATTACATTAATAAAGAAAACGATTTCCTTATATTAAAAACAACAACAGCAACTCTGCATTAACATTTCAATACACATTGCTTATACGCAGGGTTAACAGCGTAAGCTTACAGCTGCTTACTGACTGTTACACGGCGTATGGCAGACTATAATTCACATCCTCAAAAGCTCTTTGGCCAGTTCCTCCTGGAACAAAATGGGCAGCTTAAAGCTCAGCAATATCGGCATAAGCTTTGCTAACAAAAGCTCTTAACATGGCGTTGAACCAAACGTGAATGCTTCTCACATAGATGGCGCTCTTAATTGACACAAAAAAAAAAAAACAAAAACAAAAAAAAACTGCAAATCTGATTGCACTCAATGCATGAACCCATGCAGGAAATGCTCAGCAGTCATCAAGGTAGATTATAAACAACAACTCCATGTCGTGCCTCACAATGAACAACTGCGCAAATAAAAAGAAGAAAAAAACTATAACATATTCGCTATGTATATGCGATAAGCAGCGCGACAAGTAAGTTAAATGGATTATTATTATTATAATTACATTTTTGGGGTAGATGTCAAATGTAATTGGCAGTGCAATTTCCAGCAACAGCTGCAGCTCTCGACCTTGGAAATCAACCTTTTTTGTGCCCATCGGTTGCCGTCTTCGCTATATTTTTGGACATTGTAAATGACAACAAATCGATATTTTTCAACTTAGTCAAACAAAAATAATGTCATAAGTTCCTGCTAAAAAAAATCGTCAATTAATCTTATACAGCTTTTAAATATTTCTTAGTGTTTTATTCTACTGACTGTCTTTCAAATATCTCAAATTTAACACACATAAATATGTGAAAAATATATAAGCAAATATTTTACTTACAGACACATTTGCATAATTAGGATGATTATTTTCAGCGTTAATGTTAAATAAATGTGAACACAAATTCTTTAAGCGATATGAATTCCCTAAACAAGTTCAACAATCTTTTAAATTTAACCAAAAGACATCATAATTTATATTTTATAACGTTTTCTTGAATGACCTTCAAATATTTAAAAAAAAAAATGAACTTTGACGAAAATGCACCATTAAAACTTTTTTTGAACACCTCAAGAATAACCCTTGTAGACTTGAAGCCGCCATCGAAATGGAAGTGCATATAATATTTTTTAAATTTAAATTCGCATCTGTTTCAACAAAATCGCGACCCTGAACATTCTTCACTCTTACAAATTTTTGCATGTGACTTTCTTTGTGTTTCGCGTCAGTGTACTATGTATGAGTGTGTGTGTCATTTTGTGTTTATGTATGAGTGTATTTTGCGAGTTTGTGTGTGGATTTATTAACGGGTCACGCATTCGGTGACCTTCGGCCTCAGCTTGATTAGTCTGGTTCTGCAATCTTTGTAAGTTTAATTGTTTATACTTCAATCACGAAAATTGTCGCATGCCACAATTGATGTTTTGTCTTTATTTATTTTGTTTTATTTCTCTTTTTTTTTGTGGTTGGTGGGTAATGACCAGAATGTCGTAGATATTGAAAAGTCTGTCTCTGGAACGCCGTCTGTTTTCAATTGTTTGCTAAATGCACTTTAATGGAAAACTGCCAGTCTTACCTGATTCAATTGCTAAGTGCGAGAAAGTGTTTGTTTTGTTTCCGAGTTTCTGAATAACTCGTAACCGTTGGTGATGTCACTGGACACACTCTGGACTGCAACTAGATTTACTTTGCACATGCCTACATATACATCACACACACACCTGTGGCAGAAAAAATTGCACCACAATAATAAACTGTCTCTGATATAGGAGTTTGTGACAATCAACCAATAGCGGCACGCACGGATGAGTTTTTTGGTCGCTAAACTGTCGTTGAATCTTTTCCGGAGCACACCAATTTGTTACTCAATTTTACCCAATGATTATGTAAGCCTGGGGTCAATGCTCTGTTGGATTATCATTTTTTAAAGACTTCTTATCATCTGCACGGGGCAACGCCACAATTTCCAATACTGCAACATCCATGACTATTTTTAGCCACTGCACCAGCTCCACTCCATAATAGAAATATCAGATGTCTGTTAAAGTCAGTATAATAATAATAGTGCTATTTTTGAATTGCCAGCACTGTATATTAAATTAGTTTAAATTTAAAGCTTTTCACTTGATACCGCCCAGTAACAGTGCAACTTGATGCAACCTTTCGACCTTATTCCGAAAATTGTAAGTCTTCTTTACCAACGTTCGCAATTAATCGCAAATATGAACAACTTTGAGGGCTTTGTCTCCTTGACCACAAATAATTTTCATGGCCAAACCCATTACCGTAGGCAGCAGTTCATTAACAAATT